AGGGCCATATTTCTGAATGAGAAAACCTAATAAAAATTCCAAATCTTCAAGTATTAACATTTTTAAAACAGTGCCAATCAGAATCCAAACTGTTTGGGCCTAGAAAAAAATAAATTTGATATTGATATCAAAGAATAAACATCTAACAACTGATAAGAAACAATATGAAAGAAGAGTGACTAAGAATTCATATTACCAGGCATTAAAATTTACAGAAATCTACTATGATTTTGAAAGTATTGTCTTGACACAAGAATTGACAAATATAATAATAGAACAGAGTAGAAAGTCTAAGTCCAAGTATGTACATAGAGCTACTATCTAAGAAAACTGGCATTTTAATTATGTGAGAAAGAAATGATTGATTTAATAAATGATTCTGTGCAACTGGTTATTCACCTTAAGGAAACAAAATGTAACACCTTCCTGCACATCATATTCAAAGTGTAAATTTCAGATGGAATACAGCTCTAAAAAATAAACAAAAATATCAAAAGGAAATTTAGAAATATGCAAAGTGTTCATGGAGAGAACAACTTATGCAAGTTGAACTTAGAAGCCAAATAGACATTTATCAAAGTAATCAAATTAAAATTTTTAAGGTTTCTATTTATTTAAATGTTATAGTATACATTTAAGGTATGCAACAAAAAGCTTAAAAAGAAGGAGACCCTATCATTTGCCACAACATCAATGGACCTGGAAAACATTATGCAAAGTGAAACAAATTAAATTTTTATAAATTTAAGTATCATAAACTCAAAAGACATGTAACAGACTCAGGAAAATATGTGAAAAAAATTCAAAACTAATAATGTGCTACCCTCCATAATATAGATTCATTATAAAATTATAAATTTATAAATACCATCTTTTTTTGTAGTGCTGGGATTGAACCAAAGGCATCATGCATGCTAGGTAGGTGCTCTACCACTGAGTTATAACCCCAGCCCACAAATTTATATTCACACACACAAAAAGAGTAAACATAAAGTGTATGAACAAGCAATTCACAAAAGAATTGCAAATACAGCAAATTTATATTCACACACACAAAAAGAGTAAACATAAAGTGTATGAACAAGCAATTCACAAAAGAATTGCAAATACCTAGCAAGCATACAAAAAAAGTTAATCGTTGACAAACAACATACTGAAAACAAATAGGTGCTATTTAGTGCTGGCGTGGGTGTAAAGAAACAAATATCTACAAAATTATATTGGGAGTGTAGTTTTTGTAACTTTATAAAAATTCAATATGAAAGACTATATTATAGTGAAATTCAAACTGCTCATATTCCTACATTCAGTTATTCTACTTTTGGTATCTATCCTACAGGAAGAAAAGCACCTATAATGAGATTCATTCATGGATATGTTTTCAGAAATATCTATAGTGGAAAAAATCTGGAAATAAACATAATGTTTAGCAAGAGGGGATAAGTTGCTACAAAATACTATGGAATATTTTACAGTAATTAATAAAGAAGTTTGAAGGCTTTATTGATGTATTTGACTAGAGTATGACCTTAACTGACATAGGTGTTGCAATGAAGGTATTTTATAGATGTAATCAAAGCCCCTAAACAAGGAGATATAAGGGAGAATATCCTGGATAATTTGAGTGGATCTGATTGAATATGATGAAAGGTTTCAAAAACAGGGCTGAGGTCTCTCCCAAAGAGGACAGAAATTCCACCTGTGGAACACAGCTTCAGCCCATGTCCACAGAATTCCATTCTTCTCATGACCTTGCCTTCCTGGCTGCCTATAAATGACAGCTTAGTACTATGCACATGTGTTTGAGTCTACCCATGAAATTCTGTTTCTGACTGACTACACTACAGATTTCAGAGTCACCTAGGAAGCCTTTACAATCACATAAGACAATTATTTCTAGTAATATATCTCTTACTGTTTATGCTTCTCTGCTTGAACTCCGATTGACATAAGAAGTTACAGATAATATACTCTTACCTGTAGAGTTATTTATGATAAATTAAGTTTAAAAAAGTGAGTTGCAATGTTTGTATACAAATTAATCTGAAATATACATATATATAATTTTATAAATACAAATGTTTATAAATATTTAAAGAGCATAGCATAGGTATGTAAAGAGGCACACCAAATTGCAAATACTTATTATTTCACAAAGACTGAGCAAGAAAATAAAAGAATTTTAAATATTTTTATACATTTCTACATGAGTTTAAATGGTTATGATGGCCCTGTGTAATTTTATAACTAAAAATAAAAACAATAATAATTATGGTAAATCAACATGGAAGTCATAAAAATAATCACTAAAAATATTAAATGAGCCAGGTGTGGTGGCTCACGCCTATAATGCCAGCAACTTGGGAGGCTGAGACAAGAGTATTGCAAATTCAAGGCCAGCCTCAGCAACTAAGTGAGGCGCTAAGCAACTCAGTGAGATCCTTCTGTAAATAAAATATAAAAAGGGCTGAAGATGTGGCTCAGTTGTTATGCACCCCCTGAGTTTATTTCCTAGTTCCAAAAAATAAAATAAATTAAAAAGGACTGGGAATGTAGTTCAGGGGAAAGTGCTCATGAATTCAATATCCAACACCAAAAAATTAAAAAAAAAATGATTTGACAATTCTAATGATACAATGTGGAGTGAAAAATGTTACAAAATTATAACTGTGTACCAGGGAGAGGCAGGTATGGGGATAAAAAAGATTTAGTCACTCAATTTTTTTAACATACAGGAAAAATAGAATAGATGGAGATACATCAAAACAAAATGTTTACAAATTTCTTGCTGTGTTGTATGTACTCTGTGTGATTATTATTTTTTTCTCATGTTTTTCTAGGTTTTTTGTTTCCTTACAATTTCCTACAATGAAATGATTTAAATGAGACTAAAAACAAAAATCTGCAAAACTCTCATTAAAAAGATGAGCATAGGTCTATCAGGAAACAATTTTTGGAAGCTTTTCTAAATTAGAAATAGACTTTTAAAAGTCACAGATTGGGCTGGGGCTGTAGCTCATTGGTAGAGTATCTGCCTCGAACATGTGAGGTACTGGGTTCGATCTTCAGCACCACATAAAATAAATACAGATATTGTGTTCAACTACAACTAAAAATATTTTTTAAAAAGTCACAGATTATTAGTCAGAGATTATGTGGGAGACACGGTATTTGAGCCAGAGGGAATGGGAAGGACCTCGTAACTGATTTAGAGTCTGCACATTAAGATCAATCTTTTTTTTTTTTTTTTGAGAGAGAGAGAGAATTTTTTAATATTTATTTTTTTTAGTTTTCGGTGGACACAACATCTTTATTTTATTTTTATGTGGTGCTGAGGATAGAACCCAGTGCCCCATGCATGCCAGGCAAGCACGCTACCGCTTGAGCCACATCCCCAGCCCAATCTTTAATGTCTCTACAGCCTGAACAGGGTAAGTGGTTGCTGATGTCTGCAAATGGGAAAATAGCAACAACATTTCTATATTACTACAAAGCATGTCTTAATGCAGTACCCCTATGCTAAAAGCATTGTTTTACTCTAATGAGACTCAAAGTGAGTTATCAATGTGCATTCTACCCATACCTAAGAAGACTGAGATTAATGGGTCTTTCTGAACATCCCTCCTGTCCTCTGACCATTTTGTTCCCCAATATGGAAGGGTAGGAGAACACTTCTGTACTAAATGGGTAGGCCCATTTTTCTAGAGGCAGTTTTTTTTTAAGCAACTTGAGCATACAAGCATTTTAACAACTCCATTTTCATAAGGAGTGGGGCAAAGACAAAAATTGTGTGTCTTCTTAGATAATTACAAAGGCTGCTTGTTTGTTACTTCTATGACAGAAACAGTACCATAAACAAAATATGTGGTAATACTTTATAACCAATAACTGAGGCACCTGAATTCCAGTGTTTGGAAACAGCATGAGGAATTATATCACTGTATAAAAGAAGAACAATCTGTTTCAAGCCAAAAAGTATGTTTGATTGTAAATCCAAATCATGCAAATGATGATGGTTTTATACCTTGTTATATTTTCTACAATTTACTTCAAAATAGATCCACACAGTATAATGTATACATGCATATCCTTTTAATCTACAGTTTAGGGGCATTTACTTAATATTTAAAATACCTTAATCATTAATACTTACTCCAGAGGTGATTTGTAAACATTAAATACTTAGAAGCCTTTGCTTCTACTATCAGTAGTTCAGTCACTTCAATGGAGGAGAACTAATTAGCCTAACACATATAAAATAATTAATTTTTCTTAGTAAAATGAATGTTATTAAAGAGGTGTACCAACCAGAAATGTCTTAAGGATATTTTAGCTTTTATAAAAAATTGATATAAGAATCTCTTTGATCCCATAACATATTCCATTCAAAAGGGGTCTTAAAGCTTACAATCAAAAAGGGTTCTTTGTCCTGGTCCCTATCAGGATTATATTGCCAAACTCTGACTAGAAAGTTGGCTGACAGCTGGTGATATAGCTCAATGGCAGAGTGCTTGCCTAGCATGTGTGAGGCAGTGGGTTCCATTTCTAGCACTACAAACAAAAACAAAAAGGAAAGTTGTCTGAATCCCATCAGCATAATTCTACCAAATCTACCTTGACCCTTTTACAGAAGGTCCTATTATGTACATAAAAACTGAAAGCTGAGACCTCATTGAGATTACAGAATAGGATATATGAATGATTTTATGTGTGTTTCTTCATAAATGTTTATATGCTAGGGAGAATAAAGGCTAAGATTGGCTTTCAGTGCAATATGCTTGTCTGCTGATGCAACTTTTTTGGAATCTAATAGGTAACTCATACCTACCTCTGACTAATGAAAGCTTTTGGTATTTATGAAAAAGAACCTAATAATAAGGAAAGGCCAAAGTGGCTTACATGAGTTTGTAACAGAAATCTTTCCTCTGACTCTAGAAAAATGTAAACCAATTCAAACTATGTTGATCACAGATTCTTCTATCTTCCCTCAGGTCACTTACCAATTTTTTCATCTTCCTGTACCATTTTCCTCTCTTCTCTGAAAGCCCTGAGCCAACGAATTTTCTCCTCCAGCTTCTTGGCAAAGAACAGATGCACCTCATTTTTCTCCTTGTTTTGAAGCTTGAAAGCATTCTTCATGCTGACATTAAAGTCATCATCTCTGCCATCTTCGATGTCAACCACCTCATATTTATCCATGTCAATGCGGCCTTTGTAGTATAGGATGTCTCTACGGATTAGATCCTAGGTAGGAAGAAAGGGAAGGTGTTTTTGTGTAGGTACATGTAGAGTGGTAACAGGAGAGTTGGCATATGGGCACAACAGAATACTAATGCTGTCACTGTTTTGGAATACCAACGGGGGTTGTTAAGGTCTAAATTTGAGCATGTTAGATTACCAGTCTGACATTGACAAGATGATTAACTAGGTGTCCTAAGAGTTGCCCCATATCCAAACAATGTCTCAGGCCCCAATATAAATCCTTGAATGTGTTTGCAAGCCTGTTGCTGGGAAATATGAAGCAGCATACCACAAAAACACTGCTAACAGGGGCTTTTCCTCTTTCAAAACGTTGGCCACTCTACCAGAAATATGAAATGCACTGGCTGGTTGTCTGGAATGTGCTGAGAAATCCAAGAAGGCCAATGAAACTAAGGTATCAGAAAACAAACTTGCAGATGCATATAAACACTATGTTGCCTATCTGATATTTTGTTCTCAAGTACTAGATTAATCCTAATTTTCTTCAATGAGACATTCAAAATTAGTCTGTGAATGGTGTTCTTATTTCTCTACTTATTTACTTACATTTTTAATAATGTAATCAGTATTAGTGAACCTGCCCCCAATCCAAATGCAATGAACCAAGGTATACTCTACCCTAAATCTCATGTTCATCATTTCCCTGGTTTCCTTTGTGTGTGTGTGTGTGTGTATGTGTGTGTGTGTGTGTGTGTGTATACTGGGGAGGAACCCAGAGACCTTATCTGTGAGCCACATTCTCAGCCCTTTTTATTTTGAGACTGGGTCTCACTAAGTTCCTTAGGGCCCCATTAAATTACTGAAGAGGCTGGCCTCAAACTTGTGATCCTCCTGCCTCAGCCTCCCAAGTTGCTGGGATTACAGGCATGTGCCACTGTGTCCAGCTCCTTTCTGTATAGTTCTATCTCATTTATATCTATTCCACTTGAAAACATACAAAGCATGACCACATAATATTAAGAGATACATATATATGTACAAAAGTTATAAAGGAATATTTGACAATGATATATGCCAAAATCAAAATTATAAATCAGAAAATGTGAAGAGGTGAAGAAGGAGGAAATGGAAGTGTATAAGGGGAGGAAGTTTACATTTTTAAATAATTATTTAAGTTGAACAGTAAGTACATGAGTGTACATTATATTATTTTAAATATTTATGGATATCAAATAAATAATAAGTCAAAAAAGCAAAAGAATGGAAGAAATCACATATGGGTCTATGTTAGATCTGATAAGTCTTTCGGAGTGGCCTTTTAGCCTCTCCTCCTATCAACACTTCCCTCATCCTCCTCAGAGAAGAGATATTCATTGTAGTGGTTCCTATGAACTGTATTCCAAATTCTAAGATTATTTGTGAGATACGTGCTCAAAAAGTGGGCCCTATTAGGCTAATTTAACTGGATAAATGGGAAGAAAATCTATGGATAATGGATGGAATCTATCCTGATCTCAGAAAGGTTTGAGTTCAACTTTACTATTCATAACATAATAAATAAAGACCTGGAAAGGCAGATCTGGATCATGCAGCTAAGAAGTGGGCACCTATAGTACTAAAACACTGGCAACCTCAACTACCCTATTCTGAACTTCAGTCCACAACTTCCTCCCCCCACCTACTAAACTAATGTCACATTATCATTGTCAGCCTTCAATACCTTTTCTAGTTGCCAAAAATGGAAAGTATGTGCAAGATCTTAGAACTACATTAATTGAACCTTCTTGTTGTTTCTTTAGATATTTAAGGATGACAAGGAACTAAAGAGAATTTTAGCTTCTGTTGCAGGGTAACAGGGGTAGAGTGACATGTTATTAAAATTCTTTCTTTGCAGCTCCACAGTCAGTTGAATGTGAGTGTTCAGGCATCAGATTAGTCATAAGCCAAATGCAAGGATATAATAAGAATGGCTAAAAATGATCTACTGGCTTAGGAAGTTCAATCAGAAAGGGTAGCTAAGGCCATGAAACAACATGGGGCAGTAGAAAGAGCATGACATAGAATCCAAAGACCTGAGTTTGAATACTAACTAACTGCTTAACTTACTAGCTGTATGGTCTTGGGTAAGCCACTTTCAGCCTCAATCATAAAATGAGAGTTTTATTTACACTGTAAAATGGCAGAAAAATTCTAATCTAAACATGCAGCTTCCTGGTTATGAGGCAAGCCTTATTCACTAAAAACAGCCTTAAGCTTTCTTGCTCCTGTGCCAGTGCTTCATAGCCGTTTGAATTCCCTTTTGATAAACTTAAAAAAATATGCTGCCTCTTTCAGCTCATTTAAACTTTTCAAATAAGTTAAATATTATGAGTAAAAATACTGTCTCTAGAAATTCTACATATTCTTTCAGGATGGGGGAGGTATTTGCTAAATGGTATTTGCCACCTACTCACCAACATCACAGATCTACTTGGGCAGCTACTGCTTTTCCCGGAGGTTTTTGTCAAGTCTGTAGATGTCTAGGCCCTGATCATAGGCTGTGGCTCCTGAAAAGAACCTCTGCTCATCGCTGATACTGCATAATTGAAATAGCTTCCAGCTATTTTAATTTGGCCTCTCTAGGTATTCCCGGGGTTTTGTAAGACAAAGCAAGACATTTTGTACAAATAACAGATGCTGCAATCAGGAGAATGCAAGTGTTCAGGACTGTAGCCTGCTTCATTTGTTTGTCAGTAGATCCTCCCTGCCACTTTAGAGGGGGGCCTGGTTACTATCACACAGTCTGGACAATGCCAATTTTCCCTTCAGATTCTGAGGAACATGAAGCTGGAACTGGGTTTATATTGGTCACTACCATATTCCAGCATCTAGAGTGCATGTTTTATTCTCAAAACAAAATTTTAACAATAAAAGCAACAGAAAACACTTAAATGGCAGACATATGTGCCAGATACTATCTTAAGTGCTTTGTTTTTATGAACTTAAATAAACCTCACAACAATCCTACAAGGCAGGGGCTATCATAATCCCATTTAATGAGAAACTATAGACACAGGAGTTAAGGAACTTAACCAGAGATAAACGCTATTAAATGGCAGAGCTGAGATTTTATTCCAGGGTGTTTGGCTCTAAGATTTGTGCTTTTGATACTACAGTGTTATAATGCTTCCCAATAAAAATGCTGAATGATTGTAACACTACATATACTATAATAGTATCAATAGCTAACATTTACTAAGTATTTACATGACACCAGCCTTGTCTCATTTAACTCTCATAATCTACCTTTGTTGTAGATAAAAATATGATTCCTATTTTACAAATGAAGGGATAATTACAAGCACTGAGAGCTTGCTCAAGGTCAGAAAGCTCATGGGAGAAATGGGAATAGCATCCTCTAGGCGTTCCCTAGTATCCATGCTCTTAATACTCTACTACTCCCTACTACCTCAGGTTGTTCTCCTTGAGACTTTGGGGATGAGTTCTATCATTCACTTAATTTGACACTGAGGAACAAAAAGATGAAGTTAAATAACTGGCCAAAGTCTAGACAAAAGAATAAAGTCAAGTATCCAAGTATATTTTTTTTTCAAATTCCCATCTTCTTTTTGCTCTATCCCCACCTCTTTTTATTTTATTATGGTTTGTGAGTTGTCTTACAAACCTCCCAGTTGGGCCTTTCAGTCAGTGCAAGAAGAAATGGTCCCAATGCAGAAATTTCCCTGAACAAAAGTCTTCTATCTACTACCATTACATGCTGTTTAATTATGATTCCTTACCATATGGTGAAGGCAACAGAAACACAGAGCAATTATTACACATAGCACAAGGGAGCATGCCCAGGCGGACTGGCATGAAGTTTAAGAGAAGAGGTTGTTTAAGGCAACTATAGGGCTATAAGATGTTAGTAGATGATTTGGGAAAGGAGCTGTACTATCTTTCACAGTAAGTAGTGAAAGGGAAACAAAATAAAGGGGGAGGGGGAATCCTTCCAAAGCATCACAATAATCCAAAATAATCATGTCAGGAATTAAACAGCAAAACACGTACAAAGCTAAAATGACAAGGCAGTGAGACATAGAAGAGCAAGGACAGTAAGCAGAGAAGTTGAGAGACAAGAAATCAAGTCTTACCTGGATTTCTCAAAAGAAACATGACAAGGAAAGAGAAAGTGTGAGGGAAGCTGAAGAAGAGGTCACATATTTAGAACCCATGGATGTCTTTCTCATGTCCTATAATATAAACTGAAAAAAATATCTTCTCTCTCTTTCCCTCTAGTCCTCTCAAGTTATAAGCTGTTCAAACTATTATAAGTGGCTTAGTCATTCCCAATTCCTAATGTATAAAATGGCGAGATTTTTGCATAACTGGTAATAAAGAGTTAAATAGGAACTTAATGGCTGGGCCACATGATTTTGGATAGAGATCAGGTAAATATTTCAATGTCTTCTATGCAATCTCTGGCAGGTAATCATCTAGCCCATATTTGGATGAAACTAGAGATGGGGACCACGTTACCTTATAAATCTGCCTATTTCTTTTTGGACATGAGGGAATTCTAAGATTATCATTTATTCTTCACAAAAATCCTGTACAGAATTTATTCTCCCCATTTTATAAATGATATAATGAAGGCATAGGAAATGATAGCTCACTTGCTTGAAATAATACAGTGAGTTCTGGAACCAAGATTTGTACCCCAAATTGTCTGACCATAAGTCGTATATCTTATTATTCCATATTTATTCTCTCTGCAAGGAAATTATGGGAGAATCTGATATGCCAGAATGAAATCCAGATATGCCAGAATAAAATCTAGATACTCTCTGCCAGTTTCAATCCTCCCATTCACTAATCAAATTACTGGCAAAATAGAAATGAAGCTTTATGAGTCATGGCTTGCTCCAAATGCTGAGCCCTCATGGTCGCTGCATCTTTTTCTAAATGTTCATAGAATATTTTATAATTACAGAATTCTGACAAGCTCAATGGCAGTAATGACATTGAGGTTGCCAATGTAGAAAATAGAGCCAGCTTGAATGAATTCAATCCCTGATTCTATCACTTGTCAGCTATTATCACCTTGGGGGAATTATATAACTTCTCTATATTTCAATTTACGTATCTTTAAAATGGGAATAGTGACAGTGACTTCCTGAGAGATTTGTTATGTGGATTAAATTGGGTTATTCAATGTAAAGTTCTTAGAACAGAATCATACAGGCACTCAATAAATGCTAGTTCATGATTTTTTATCAATCTATATTGTCCATAACATATTATTTTCAGTTTTGAAAACTGGTACATTTTCCTATCTATAGTGTTCTCACAGATTTCATAAGACCCATAATTCTAGAGAAATTCCACTGTGAATATCTGAGATTTATTTCAGTGTAAAGAAATACACATTTCTAAATTAAATCTTACTTAAATTTTATTAGACTATAAGCCCCATGAAGGCAGAGTTTGCAGGCCCAGAATAGGACTCAAAAATATTTCAGAGCAGTAAAGTGTTTTCTTATAACCTCAGATTCTTTGAGTCTCAATCCACTTGTAGTCAGTTTTATGCTCTCCTTCCCTTGACATTGAAGAAATTTATGTTACTCTGCTAACATTAAACCATCTGTCTAAGGCAAGGGGTTATCAGACTATCATTTTTTTAAATTTTTCTTTATTTGAATAGATCTTTTAAAATCACTGATATCAAATTGAACATTTTTATACCAACTTTATTCATTGTAGGACTCATGAAACTATTTTTGCCACTACTGTTAAAAATCACATATAAAATGTTTTACTACCTATTCACTTGCTAGGGGCATTTACTTATTCCTCTTTAAATATGATCTAATCAGAAAGCTTACTGTAGCCACATCTGGCTTAGCTTGGTTTTCCCCCCATTTTTTCCTTGTAAATACATTTTTAAAATTACTGATGAGCTTTCAGGTATTCTTTTAAATTGGATTCCTGAGGTGAGTAAGGTAAGTGAAGAGAAACCTTCCTCACCTCTTTCTAATCCTGGTCCTTCTCTTTCCTTTCCCTTGTTAAAGGAATCCTCATCTCCAGGGAGCCTTATCTATTTCTCTCCGTTCTATCTCAAAAAGAAAATCTTTTATAATAATGGAAAGTGGTCCCTAAGCAATTTGGCAAACAAAATATCTTGTCTGTTTATATAACTTATTTGCATTGCATGATCATTTTTCAAGTTTAACTCATATTTGATGAATAGGAAGTCCTATTGTAGATATCAAATAGAAATCTTCAACAACAACAAACATCAGATATTTTTAATGACCTTTGTACCAGCCTGTAGTTTCTTATGCTCTGGGAAGCCAGTGTCATGAAGAACTGAGTATATGGAATTGGTACCCTTATACACTGACCCTAGACTAGCTTTACTCTGGGGAGAAAGACTCTGGGGAGAAAGACTTCTAGATAGAAGAAGACATCTCCCATCTGAGGGAAACTATGCCTGCAACAAGGCATCTTTTATTTTTGTCACTCCTGTTACCTACTTCTCCCATACTGCCAGTGTGGCTGGTCTGAATTCCCAAGTCCTCCTTTGACTTCTAGTTTCTTCCTTACAATTGGCTCCTACTATTGGCTTCGAGTTGACTCATCACTTCACCCTGGTCTTCTGTCCCTTGATTCCTAAACTTAGCCCACTGTTCATCTTGTTTCTTTCCCTTTAATCCTAGCCTCTGCCTTAGTGTTCAGCATCCTAGGTCCTGATCATACCACCTATAAGCACTGCTTTCCAGAGCCTAGATTCACATTTTACTTAAAGTAACTGCAGTGTTTGCTGAAAGATGCCTAAATCAACATGGTCTTGGGGATGGGGGACCCGAAAATAAACCAAGTTCCTGTTTGAAGTCTTTCTCAATGACTAGTTGTTCTGAGCATGAACATAATTTAGTAGTGAACAGGCACATGACTGTTGGTGACATGGTTTATATATTGAGAATTCCCTTAGTTGCCTAAAATAATCTTCAAAAATTTGCCTTCCAGTTGTATGGAAGACCTGAGAACTGAGGGGTCTAAAGATAGATATTAGTTTGGAGCTGAAATCCATATTCAAAAAAAGTTTTCTCTTCCAGGGTTAACTCCAGATGGAGGCAATTATTATTCCTATGAACTAACTTGCTATTTTGGTTCCAGAGCCAGTATTCAGAGTTGACTGCCAAACATTAAGGCAGTCTGAATCTATTTAATGCAAGATATGATACAAATTTACATGCACACAGAGTATAGGAGGCTTAAACCAAATCTGTGGTTATGTTCCAGGCCAGAAAAATAACAGTGTTTAATTTGTAATGTTGTGACTCAGCACCCCTCTTCAGAAGCATTCACTATGGATGAGAAAGAGAACAAAGGGACTAGGTATGAAGACAGTGAATTAGGAAATTCACGTTAAGTACTCTTAGGTTTCTCCCTCATCTTTTATTTTCCCTGCTCCCAAATTCTTACCAGCCAGTCACTAGAGACAAAAGTGGTCTGAACTTTGTATCCTGAGGAAGGAGGTAGGGGGAACAGTATTCCATTAGGATCCCTCAGAAGGATTCAGAATAAGAATGTATACTGTCCTTTTTCATCAAGAATAAAAGGCTAAGAAACCAACATTCAGTTATCAAGGGGGTAACTGAGAAGTACAAATTTCTCCTCAAATGTTTTACAGGGAAAGGGCAGTACAGGAGAGATGGTTGGGAGTTGTGAAGAACCAATGCACCAATGCAGGAAACAGGGGGAAATCTTGTATCACAGAGGTACCTACCTGTCTGGGCAAAAGTAGTAGGCCCCTTGTTGGTTTCTATAGAAGAGAGGGGCCAGTTGGCCAGAGACATCAGACTGTAAATGGGGGAAGGTACTGAAGAAGCTATTGTTTACCAATTGGGATGAAACTATTATAATATTTTTCACAACTGATGCAAACTTGCTGGCTATCAGATCTGGGTGTAAGGGAACGAGAAAGAAGCACCATTCAAGTCATGAGAGCAAAGGTGAAAAATAGATACCAAGACAAAATTGTTCATTGCCTATGATATTCATGCCACACCAGTGCTCCTGATATGGAATTGCTGCCAATCACCAGGCTGTTTTTCTCCTAGCAGTTGTTGACCACTTCACTGGCAGCCTGGGTATGAGGAAAAGGAAGGGGATGGTTCCTCGTGAGGTGCCCATCTCCCTCAGGGAAGAAAAGGTGGGGTTACCTTCTTGCAAAGAACCATCTGGTGGTCAAACAGGAAGAAGACCCGCTGCTGGTTGCGGCCATAGGGCTGGTAGATCCAGGCCATCTCCCCAGTGTAGATCAGCTCCGAGCTCCTGTCTAGGATATCCTCGCCCTAGGAAGGACACGTGATGGTGAGAGGCAGCCAGGTAGGAGGGATGGTCCCATTTCTTACCTGGAATCACCCAAAGCTAGAATAAGAGGAAGCCAGAGAGGGCCTGGTGGAGAAGGAGGGAGAAAGGGACTCCTTGGAGTCCTCGAAAAGCTTTATAACCATATTCTTTTTCACTTTGAGGCTAGGGGCCTTATTACCCAGGATTGATACAGCCTCTCTATGTACTCTCTTACTCATGTTCTCTCATTCTTTGTTGTCCATCTCTCTTCCCTAAGAATCCTTTTCTGCTCCAGTTTCTCAACCCTGCTCTATTCTCTGAGTCTCTAAAATTGAGCAAGTGGTAGAAATTTTTATGCTTCCCAGACAAGTAGAAGGGAACAGGGAAGGACAAGAAAAAAGATGATAAACAGAGAAAAAGATAATAATTCACTCCCCCTCTTATAATTGTTTTTTTCTTTCTCCTCTTAGTTCATTAAAATTCACTGATTGATTAAAAAAAGAAACTTCACTACCACAATCTTCCTTGGTTTATTATCCAGGGAGCCTTTAACTCCTCTGCTACATAGAATCAGATTTGAAAAAAAAGTACTAAGACACTTGACTCCTCCCTAATTGAATTCAACATTGTTTCCAAAGGCTCCCCTTCTTTTTTGGACTGGGGACTGAACCCAGGAGCACTTTATCACTGAGCCACATTCCCAGTCCTTTAATCCTTTTTTTTTTTTTTTTAATTTTGAGAGAGGGTCTCACTAAGTTGCTGGGGCTGTCTTCAAACTTGTGATCCTCCTGCCTCAGCTTCCCAACTCACTGAGATTACAGGTATGCATCACCATACCCAGCAAGGCCCCCTTCTTTAAGGCAAGTCTGCAAGGGCAGAAGTATGATGGGATGCCTGTAAATGCCAAGCCAGATGTGGTCCCTGTTTTCAAGGAGTTTACATCTCAGCAGAGGAGATTAAGGTAGGTGGGCTCAGAAATCATAGAATACAAGGAAAACCAAACCAAAGTCAAGAGCACAGAGATAAGAGTTTTAAGGTCTATGTGAAGATGTGAAATAAGAGCAGTAGCACATGAAGTAGAAGAATTAATATTTTCTGAGTTCCTATATGCTAGATATTCCAGTCTACCATATAATTGTCCATGGGATAGATATTTTTACTCCAATATTATAGTTCCAAGTACAGAGAGGTTAAGTATTAGGCCAAGATCACCCAGCTACTTTGCTACAGATCTACAACTCAACTCTAATTTCTATGGTTCCAGAGATTGTACTCACTTTCTATCCTATATTGTCTCTAGGCCAAAATGTCACTGGAAGGTCTTCTCCCTGGCTTTCAGTTTTCTAAGCTAAAAAGGATTATCTTTACAGTCCCAGTCCTAATACTCCAACACTAAGATGTCAAGCCTTATATGCAAAAGCTTCAAGGAATGATTAGAAATATAAGTCCCTGCATCTGTCCATAAATAATCAGAGGCAAATAGCCCAGGCAGGATGGTACGCCAAAGTGGGGGACATATGGAAATGGTGTTCATGAGTATACCATTTGCTCTAATTTAAGTGATGGGAAAAAAGGGAACTCAGTGTAATTATTTTCTAATAATAGAATTTAAAAGAAGCTCAGAAATACTGTTTCAACTCTAGGCTCAGCTTCAGGATTATGTAAGATCTAGGTAAACAATCCTGCTTGAGGGAATGACATACTTTCCTCCAAGTTGGGGAATAGTGTTGGCTTTCCTGTTGGAGGTATGGGAAGTTAATAGTAGTACCTGTCAACCATGCCCCACCTTGAAAGAAAGCTATCAAAGGGGCCAATAATATAAAACATATGGCAAAGATGCCTTAAGGTATTAATTGCTCAAGTGAGGATGATCAGACCAGGGGGAATAGTCATTATTATCTGGTCTACCCACTGTACCAGCAAGGGGCAGTCCAATTTTATTTTAAGTACTTGCCCCATATAATTCCAAGAAAAAAAATGAAAAAAAAAAACATCTTATATGCTCACCGAGCTGAGTGAACTAAAGCAATCTAAATATCCTAATTGTGCCTCAGTTACTTCATACTTAATAAGGATAAAAACATTACCAACCCTATTGTGATAACTATTTAAATTAACATATAACAAAGTGCCTAGGAAGGTACACATACTGTAAGATCTACACAAATGATATTTATTATCCCATGTGCCCTGGGTACTATATGTATCCTGTTTCCTACTAACACTATAACCTGATAAGATTTGCACTGTTTTATTCCCCAAAATCAAGATCAGAGAAATTGGAAGTAACTTTCCCAAAGGGGCAGAACTCAGGCCAGACTCCCGCTAAAGCCCATGTTCTTATTCACCATACTGCATTAGAATGATGACACCTACCCCAGTGGAACAACCAGCTTCAATTGAAGATTTCTGAGGCAAGAATCTCAAAAGAGAGCTGAGCTCTGGGTCTAGTGCTGCTATCAACTCAACTCTGTGCCCTTAGAATGTATCTCTTTCAACCTTTTTCCTCATTTAAAGTGGAGCAAATAATTATATCTACTGTTTGTTCCACTCCACATGGCTGCTAGAACACATCAAACATTATTGTGATGAAAAGGGCCCTCTCATTGTTCCAGCTCTAATTCTTGTCTCCTCTGCCCAACCAGCACCAAGTACGTATCTGTTTGTCTTGCTCCCAAAACTGCAATACCTTCCCACTTCCCAATCCCCTGGGCCTTCTGTTCCATTCCTACAGGATTTTGCCCATGCTGTTCCCTTTGCTATGAATGTATCTTCCCCCCATTAGATGACCAAGGGCATACAGCATTGATTCCAATATCCTCTGTTATGGTTTAGATATGAGGTGTCCCCCAAAAGCTCATGTTTGAGACAAATGCAAGAAAGTTTACAGGGGAAATGATTGGGTTATGAGAGTTTAACCTAATCAGTACATTAATCACCTAATAGGGAATAACTGAGAGGCAACTCTAGGTTGGGTAGGGTATGGCTGGAGGAGGTGGGTCATTGGGGGTACATGCCTTTGCAGTATTTACTTTGTTGTAAGTCAGTGGAGCTCTCTGAATCCTGGAGACCATGTTCTGAGCCATTTTCCTCCACCACAATCTTCTGCCTCAATGTTCTGCCACACCTTGAGGCCAAAGCAATGGAGCCAGCTATCTATCCACTGAGACCTTTGAATCTGTGAGCCTCAAATAGACTTTTCCTCCTCTAAAATTTTTCTCAGGTCTTTTGGTTACAATGGCAAATAAAGCTGACTAAAACATCCTCAATAACTAGTACACAGGGACTGGTAAAGAGATGTTAATAATCACATATTTGCTCAAAACCGTCTAGTAGCTCCCAACCAAAGTGAAAGCCAAAGTCCTTTAAAGACACAATCTTACCTCTCATTACTTTTATACCCTCGTCTACCCCTACTCTCTCCCATTTTTATGCCACTATGGCCAAACTGGCCTAGTCCTTGGCATTCCTTGAGCACATATTTCCATATTTCATGGCCTTTGTATTTTTTCTTCCATCTGCCTGAAATTCTGTGTTCCAAGAATGATATGCTCTTTAATCTTCTTCAGATCTTTTCTCAAAAGTCATCTGCTCAGGTACTACCCCATTACTCTAGCCTGTTAGCCTACTTTATTTTTCTTCATAGCCCTTATCACTCCCTGACAACATAGTATGTGCTTGTTTCTTTCCTTTCTTCCCTACTGGAATATAAATTCAATAAGGGTGGGAATTTTGTCCCATTCACTGACATATTTGCAGAATCCAGAATGAGACCTGACACAGATTAGGTACTCAATAAATATCTATCTAATAAATGAACCAAGGAATATTAAATAAATAGTGGCTATCAAAAACTACACAGAGCTTTCTTACCAGTTCATTTGCCTTCCTGTTCTGAAGCCAAAGTCTCAGAGAAGAAACTTTACCTTTTTCTAATGAATTATAATTCATCCCATTTTTCTCAACTTTATTCCACTCTAATTATAGGCTGACTGATATGTGTTTGTGGTCTGAGCAGATCCAGAGAAATAAGGCAAGGTAAACGCCATCCTTTTTCATCCACTTTGTCTTCAACACTGCCTACTGACAGAAAGGCAGAGAAATATAAACAATCCATCCAGTCCCTCATTTGATCTTCTGGTTCCAGAAGCTTTTAAATAAATGATTTTGCTGCCTCTATTACATTTGGATTTTGTATTTCCTCCAACTTATTTGGATTCAATCATCCAGTAGTAACCTGGAAAGGACCTTGGGTATTATACAACCAGGATGGAAGGGGATGGGTACCACAAGAAGGATATTATAACCACATAAAATTAAACTCCTGAACATGAGCTGTGAACATGGGCTCCTGCTAAAATTATACAGAGGAAAAAGATTTAAAAGAAACTGTCAGGGATATGTATCTTTTCCCTTCGTTTCAAGAGGATTTAATGAATCTGAAAGGTACCAAAGTGACAGTTCAACTAAACCTCAGCATCAGAGAAATTATAAATAGAAATTTTCCCAGAAACTGTAATTCCTGAGAACAGGTATTTCTACCTGCTGCTCACAGAAACTGCTCTAATATATTATTACTTAGAGAGATGGGTAACAAGTTAACTTATCTATTTATTTTTAAGAAGTCCTTAGGATTTCGGCAAAGGGAAGGGTACTTCAAGATGACAAGAGTCAGGGATGGTAACTGGAGTTGGGTAAAGAGACTCAAAATGTTCATGGAGAAATATGAGGGGAAAAACAGGTCTTGAAATAATGCAAGACTTCCTGCTCTTCAGCCAGATGTTGTGATTTATTGAGCAAGCATCAACTGCCTACATTTCACCACTCCTCCCATTTCCTCTTCAAGGGAGATTAAACTCTAAAGGTTTCTCTTATGACTCCTGCTTTTCATTTAACAAATGAAGCTAAAATTACTATTTGCATGATTTTGACAGACACTCTATTTGTTCAAACATCTGGGAGGCAAGGGGATGGCAGAGATAGCAAAGCATTGCTTCTTTTTGGTTTGTAAGGCTTGTCCATATCAGCCCATAGCAATATGGCAAGAGCTCTTCCTTTTCTGTCTCCCCCCTCTCTCTCTCTCTCTCTCTCTCTCTCTCTCTCTCTCTCTCTCTCTCTCTCGTTCTCTCTTTCTCTATCTGCCTTTTCAATTTCTTGGGCAAATGGAATACACAAATAACCTATATCAGAGAACCAGAGAGGTTCTGTCACCTATCCCAAGAGACAGCAATCCTTTGAATGTCCATGTTCTATTGCTTTCTGGGAAAGACTCTTCTGTACTTATCCATCTTTAGTTGTACAGGTATTTGGATCCTCCTCTCTCCAAGGTAGTCTCACTGTCTTGTTTAAACATAGATTCTATTGAAAAAACAAGTTGCTATAACATTACAAAGGACAGCAACTGGGCTGCAGGAGGCAGAAGGTTAGGGGAATTTGTGGTTTAGTAGTGAAAATAACACGACAAAGGGAATCAGAAGACTAGATTCAAGTTCCACTTTTGTCACTGACTTGTGTGACCTTGGTCAGTAATAAGTCTCTCTCTGCTTCTCAGTTCCTCACTATCATGACAAGGTATGAGAGGGTGAATAAGGATGAATGTGAGTATAAATGAGTATTTATGCACACACTATCATGGTCAGGGCTGTTGGGGAGTGCTCTAAGAGCCCTGGAACTCTTGACATTCTGTAGTCTTTAAGACCAGATTCAGCAAACACGACAGATACCTTAAAAGCTCTGGCCTCTGAAATATACCAATCAGCCCTCACTAGAGGAAAAGCTTCCTAGACAGCAACACCCATAGAGCTAACAATTTCTTCAGTGACTACAGAGTGTGAGAAGAGCATTTTTTTCTCCTTCCAAGTCATTACAGACTCAATGTTTATGCCCCCCAAAATTTTTTATTAAAATCTAATCTTTTATCTACATTCTTTGAAGGTGAGGTCTTCTGAAGGCTTCCAAAACTGTAAGAAATAAATCTATGCTGTTTACAAGCCACCTAGTCTATGATATTGTTATAGCAGCCCAGAAGAACTAAGACACCAATTTAGATGAGTAAAGGCTTCATCAAGCAGGAAGGTGCAGTGTTGTACAGGTTTAGATGAGATTACAGAATCAATCTATTATACTAACAAAGGAACAATTAAAATTACTTTTTGAACCCCTTCCCTAGAGAAACATAAATGAAATGTCTTCTGAGATGTTGAGCCTTTAAATCACAGCTCAGGACTACAGAGTTGGGTGCTAATGAAGCTCCTGCGATAGGCCAAGGGATTTGAAACTGTTATTTGTCCCCCATGGCCTATGATCCAGGTATTAGAGGCAGAGAGCACATGGAGGAATTAAAAAGTCTTTTAGGAATGGAGATTTGGAAAGATGTTCCAGGAATAGAAAGACAACTGCTCCTGGACACCTTCTCTTACATAGAACCCTGCCATGGTAAGAGACAAAGGCCTTCTAAGTAGCCACAATTTCAGAATGCCTCAGAGTTCATGGGCTTACTAGAAGGCATTTGGCCCTGACCTCTGCCTTGAATCAGGAAACTGGCCAAAGCAAAAAGATACAAGGGAAGGAGAATCCACGACTTCTGAGTAAATCTTTGTCAGTGCTGGCTTAATCTTACAAGCAAGAGGGTCCCATTATGTGAATTCATTTCTTTCTATAAATTTCAAAGAGTCACTGCTATAATACTCTTTTATGAGGAAACTATCCTTCAAATAGGACCCCAAAATGTGTCAGCTGATCAGAATTGTGGCCTTTTCCAACATCTACATTGAGGAGGAACAGAGGTATTGCAATAAAAGAAAGATGATTTTTTTTTTTGGTCTAGAACTTGGTTAAGTAGCTATTTATAAGGCTGATGACAGTCCACTTGGAATAGGCCAATGGAGTTGCAATGGAGTTGCCTCTACTTCTACACTGTGACCACAAGGCATAATATTTCCACCCTCTCCCTGGTAGCATGTCTAGCCTCTCCCATCTTGGTTATATTAACTTATGGATAATCAGATTACACGAAGTGGGCCTAAGAGATAAATGTGAAATACCATTACTACTGGTTTCCTTGGTAGGTATATAGGAAGGAAGGCTTGAGTGACTTCAGCCACTTGCTTTCCAAGTTCAGACAAGTCACAGATGTCTTCAATAGAATGAAAAGTTTTCAGGGTCTATTTTTATAAGATGATGATGAAAACAGTGATCTGTGGATTCAGCAGGGATGATGGTCATGGACTAGAGTGTGTAGGCTTGGATAGACCTACTGACTATGTCAAGACAAGGTGATCTCACCAACAAGAAAAGAAGTATGTTGCTGTCCCAAATGGTTAAGAACAAGAGAACCAACCCCATTGTGTTAGTTAGTTTTCTATCACTGTGACAAAATACTTGAAAAAATCAAGATACAGAAGAAAGGTTTATTTTGTCTCACAGTTTCAGAGGTTTCTATACAGGATCCACTGGCTCCACTGCTATGAGCCTGTGGTGAAGCAGAACATCATGGCGTAATTACATGGCAGAGCAAAGCTGCACACCTCATGGTGGCCAGAAGTACATAGAGACACAGAGATAATGTGTGTTTGAGAGAGAGAAAGCAAAAAAAAAAAAAAAAAAAAAAAAATCTGTGAACCCTGCTGCCAACACTGGGGCCAAGTATTCAATACATGAGCCTTTAGGGAACATTTACCATTCAAACCATAACACACATATTAGGTGACTAGGAGTATATTAGTACATACTACTACTTATCCAAGTGTGCATCCCATGGTCACAAATCTAGGACTTGAAAAATGTTTGAAGGGCTACTAACTTAACTCAATTGTTGTTTCCAAACAATACTCAAAGAGATAAACCTTTCTTTTGTTTTTAAATTTTTTTTAGTTGTGTATGGACAGAATGCTTTTATTTTAGTTGTTTATTTTTATGTGGTGCCGAGGATCGAATCCAGTGCCTCACACATGCAATGCAAGCACTCTGCCACTGAGCTACATCCTCATCCCCTTTCTTTTCTTAATGAATTATTGTCACAAAGATTTCACTAATCTTCTTAGAAAGCTATTAATTACCTAATACCTCTCATTAGCAGGAAACTTTGCTTTGGGCCTAATCTAAATCTTTCCGGTTGCTCCTAAAATCTAATTCCTCTTTGTTCCCCCACTTGGCTTAGGTGAGCTTTCAGCAAGCTCCCTGGAATCCCCAACACCCCTATTGGTAAGAGTCCTACCTCCCAGTCTAGGACAGAGGCCTGCCACTGGGCAATCTTGTCAATATTCTCCAAACGTCGCTTGCGTTCGTTGATTTGCTGAGTCACATTTCTCATGACAGCCAAAGCAGCTGCCACATATCTGTAATCACTGTGAAGAAACAAGAATGCAAGTTGGATGAACCAATATGCCAGAGAACCAATGTTCTAGATGCCAATCTTAACATCCACTCTATACTCTTTCTCCTTAGTAACAGTATTGATTTTCAGATGGGAACCCATGAGACATAGAATAAAAGACTACACTTCCTATCTTTTTTTCTCAGCAGGGATGACTATATGACTAAGTTCTGTCCAGTAATTATACAAATTATCATGTTGGGCAGGACTTTTGAGATATCTCCTTTAGGGAACAGAGCACATCCTTCTTTAGTGCTTCCTACATCCTGATGTTTAAAATATGAATGGATGGCTGAAGCTGTACTCATATGCAGGATCATGATGACAAGCCAATACCCTAGGGGTACAATAACTGAAAGCTGAAAGGAGCCTGAGTCACTGATGACCATGAAGCCACTATGCCAGCCATGGGCCTCCTAACTTATGGTTTCTTTTGCATGAGAAATAGAGTCCCTCTCTGTTTTTACACCACTATTGTTGTGCTGTATTTGATACAACCAACCAAAGTCTAAGAAGGGAGATTTTCACATGACATAGTCCAGACAACATAATCATCTCTCCCATTATTTCTAGGGAGCCTCTGCCCAAAGTCACTTTTCTTCCTACACACAGTTTTTAAAAATACAAAATTTGAAACCAAAGTCTATGAGCTCAAACTCCACTTATTTGGCAAGTCTCACTCACTCCCCCCTTAATTCAATTTTCTTTTATATAAAATGGGAAGAATCATGGTAGAATTTATTGATGGGGTTAATAAATTAAATACAATCATCCATGTAAATTGTTTTACTCTTGGCCCACAAAAAGTGTTATCAGTATTATTACAAGTCATACATTTCTCTATTAGAGAAATCCCATGGGATGCCTTCCCCTAAACCCAGAATTTTAACACTTGGCCCAGCTTCCTAGGACTTTGGATAATCCATGTATTGAGGTTTGCATCATTCTGCCCAGTTTTCTCTGATCTGATTTCCAATTGAATGGCTCCTGTGAAAGGCAAAATGAAAGTGAAATGTCAGCCATTGGATGGAGCTACAATAAACTGAGAAGGCAAGGCATGTGTTATAGTTCAGTCTTAATACCTTTCCTTAGAAAAGCTGAAAATGCCTTGTGCTCATTAACCTGCTCACTTTCATAGCACCAATTAGAAAATAGAAGGGAAAAATGAAGAGGTACAATTACTGCCTTTTTCTTTCTGAATACATTGAAGAACGTCGTAGACCAAACACAGGCACAGGGAAGGGAGTTCTAACTGCCAGGGCAAAAGTTATAGAGCACATCCCTTTAGTTGGTATCCATGACTAATTTGTGCCCTATGTAACTTCCAGATCCATGGACCTCAAAACCTACTGCACTCTATCACCTCCAGTTATAGGTTACACCACCTAACCAATTTATTCTGTCACAAGAAACCTGTTGGAAAAATTGTTTTAATTCTGAGCAATAATGAATATTAGGTATTAACTGTTTTTCTAGTGGCTCTCACTAATGACTCACCTTGAGATTATGACAAGCTGTCTAGAACCTATATCTTCCTCAACCCGTTCCTGAGCAGCTAGCTATCTTACCATCTCCCACCAAACTCTACAAAAATTTGGGGTTCATGTAGCTTTGAACTGTGCTGAAAAACTGCCTTTCTGGAACTCTTAAGATCAATTATGCAATATATAATTTAACTAGTGAATATTATTACTCCACAAGTAAGATTTTTAGAGCTCTTGACGATGTCCATTCAACAGATACTCAAGATATAGGGCAATTTAAAAACTGTCATACAAAATCATATAAGAATCACTCTTTGATGGCTCACAAATCTCTCTGTGCACAAAATTTACCTAGATAATGCTTTTAAAAGTTAGATTTTGAGACTATTACTTATACTTTATGTCCTTGTTTCAATATAGACTTGCACTCTTCATTTTCCCTTTTTGGGTCTCAGCCTTTCCAGCTGTGTAACAAGGAAATCTGACTAGAAGGGATAGCTTTCCTAATCTAGGTAGGATATATATTCTGTATTTTAAGTTAATTTTGAAATATCTTTTAATTTTATCAGGGGGTTCTTCAATGTCCTCATTTGCCCTCAAGAAAACATCTCAGCTGGGAATGTAGCTCAGTAGTAGTGCACTTGCTTAGTATGAATGAATCCCTGGGTTCAATCCCTAGCACCACCCCCACAAACAGATCCTCAGAAAGCTGGGAACTCAATTCTGGTGATGGGCTGTACTAAGTCTGTTCAAGTGTGACCTAGTCATCTCCAAATTTCAGGTCTAATAAGCAGCTAATATCATTGCCTCAGGGAGAAGAGAGTAGAGTCCTCCTTAGTAAAGTCCTATTTCGCTTGCCTCCCTCACAGCAAACAGGTCAAGGAAGGCAGATCAATCATTGACCCTGTTAATCATACAAGAGGGAAGTCAAGTATTATTACATTTGTGTTAAAATATGAAATTTGCTTAGGGCTCCAGAACCACAGAAGCATATTACTTATACTTTACTAAAGAAACAACATCAATTTGAAAATGTGTTCATTTTCAAAGGATTGACCTTGAAGCTAACTTAAACCAAACCAACTGGTCCACACCCATGGCCTTATGCATTTGCATTTGGAAATCAGCACTAAATGTGCCAGGCAATGGAGCCAAATGTAAATAGAAAGTGGGCCTAATAAGAGTCATGCTGAAAGCTATGAGAAATTGGGCAAAGCCCTTCTTTCTTCTCAGAGTACTCAATCCAAGGAATAGAGCTGAACAAGTCTAAGATCAGGGATTCAACATTAATTAAAATAAAGTTAGAAATAAGGTAGGGGTCAAAGTCTGAGGTAAGACCTGTGAAAGAGTGGGAATGTTCATTGTAAGTCACACCTATTGTTGGGGGATTACCTGCAGCATGCACCTTAATGGTAGGAGGTGAGTGGTATCATTTATATTCTTGGTACTTATTTATTTTTTAATATTTTAAAAATAGGAAAAGAAAATTCAGGGGAAACCTCAAGTCTGTTTTCCAATAGCCATACTCTGGCTTTATTGAAAATACACAACTGGGTTGGGACAGAGTAAGGTAAAAACACTAAAGAAGACCATGCAGAAGTTCAGAGTTAGTACAAGTTGTCTAGACTATCACCAGGACATTTGAGTCTTTCAACAAGAGTGAATTATATAGTTGAACATTTATTGCATCAGGGTTGATTCATGAAGCCAAGCTCAGGACTAAGGAAAAGATTTAAATCTCTGCTGCTTGAGAGTAGGGCATGCATTGTACAATAATAATGTGCATGCAGTTTGTGTGTGTGAACCAATTTACAACTTCACAAGCAACTCTCAAAAATATTCCTTCACTTCACACAAAGCAGCCTTGTGAGGTAAGCAAGCATGTATCATGCTGTTTTGCAGATAAGGTAACAGAAGCTCAGAAAAGGTAAAAATGATATACATCTTCAATAAGGATCAACATGTAAAATAAACTCACTCCTATTTCCCTCAATTTCTTACCTGTGGTCTTGAGCAGTATACTTGAGGAGCTCAGCCAACTGTAAGGGATACTTGCAGATCTTTTGCACTGGAGTCAAAAGGAAACCATCAATAGCAATGTCAATCATCTGCTGCAAGAGGCGACAGGCCTCAAAGAAGTGCTGGTAGCGACTATCCTTCATCAGCTTGGAGAGCTCCATGCAGGCGTCCAGATGGTTGTTGCAATATTCAGAGTATATCCAGAATCCATCTTGCTATTGCCAGAAAAAAAATGAAAGAGAAAGGCTACTCAGCATTCCAAAGCAAGTCTTGAAATAATAGAAAGGAAGACCATGTTCTTATATAGGAATGTTAAAATAATGTCAATTATGCTTAAATTGATCCATAATTTAATCATAAACATTTGAAAAGAAATTATTTAACAATTAGAGAAACAAACTGTAAAACTCAATATAGAATAAGTAGAAAATAAGTAGAAAAAAGAAAGGTAATGAGAAGAGACTGATTCTAACAATAATAAAAGAGAGCTTGGCAAGTATATCTGATATTTGGTCATAAAAAGAGATCAGAGATTCTACTTTTGTCAATGACAAACTAAGGTGTTTCAATACACCCTGCCACTGAGAGCAGCTAGAAAAGCTGAAAATTAAAATAAAATCTCTCTGAAGAAATCATTATCCAGAGCTTCAAATTACCTTCATAAAAGATACCTTCAGAAACATATCATGAAGTATTTAGGCCATGATGAGTGTAAGATGAGTGCTGAGGGGAAAATGTATGAGTATGTGTACCTGTGTAAGTATTATATGCATATAGAGAAACGAGAACATTTGAGAGATAGGGAGAGCATATTCAAATGATGAAACAAAACAAAAAGGTGAAATGCTAACAATAGTGAACCTGGGGGTAAATAGTATACCGATATCTTTTGTATTGTTCTTATTTTTCAACATTTCTATAAAATTTAATTTATTTCAAAGCCTAAAAAATCCTTATGTTTTTCTCATATGTTGCTAAATACTAAATAAAAAAATCACCTGATACATAAGAATATAAAACATGAACAAAACATGATAGAAAAAGAGGCAATAGAAAATAGACAAAAAAATCAAGATGAAGTTATTACACATGTACTTTTCAAAACAAATCAAAACAAAAAACAGTACACAAAAAGAATAATATGCCATAAATACAAAGGATCTGTCTCCTCCAAAAAGTTAACATCATTCTCAAGGGTGAAATATTGAATGTTTTCCCCTAAGTTCAGAAACAAAGCTCCTAATTCAACCTATGTATGTATATTCCCTGCCTCATTTTGCCACCTCTTCTCTCTTAGTCTCCCAATGATGGAAATTTCAAAACCAAAAGGTTCTTCTATCTTCCTTCAAAGCCAGCTTGAATAAAACCCATTTGCCTACCAAACTGACTCCAAATATTGGTGGAACAAAAATCAGTGTAGCTTAGCCTTTTTCTCTGAGTGTCAATAATACCAACCAGTAACAACATCAGTAATGTGTCAGGATACAAAGCCAATGTACAAAAATCAACTGTTTTTCTATATGGCAAAAAACAACATAAAGTTGAACTTTAAAAAAATACCATTTATAATAGTATCAAAAAGCATTAAATACTTAAAATTTAAATTTTCAGTAGAGAACATCAGCAAGATGTCACAGTAAAACATGTCAGATTTCAAAACTTTGGCAGCTATCCATTCATGAACAAAAATATTTCAGAAAGAGAGTAGGAGTCCACTTAAGAAGCCACAGAAATATAGTTGAAGAAAAAAAAACCCTAAGAATAACTACACAAAAAGGGTTGGAATAACAGTTTCATTTTTCCTGCCTCATTTACATCCCCCAAATTCTGCTCAGGTCAGAGAAAGCACTTCTTTGGCTCATATGCCCCCTTGTGGGGAAAAGGAGAGCAGCATATACAATCAGATTCCTCAGCTTTTTAGAACATTGCTCAAATGACCAACTTTAGTTTCACATCACCCAGGTTTCTAGAGGACTGGGATGGCTGAGATGCCTGGAGACAGTAAAGAACAAGGAAGAAGAATGTGCATCAGTATCAGCCAGGCACTGGGAATCACTGTGACTCCCCGGTGACCTGTTTAGCAAAAGAATCCAGCATCTCTCTGCTGAGGACTTCAACAACACTTCCACTACTAAGTACTACTCAATATTCAATGTCACAGGCCACAGTAGTTTGTTCTGCAAAGGACCCTAGCAGTTATCAATGCTGAGAAAACTAACTACTAACTTAGCAGCAACAATAGACCCACTACAACCTGTCACTGAGGGTGCCGGAAGTTTTGTTTGTTTTTTGTTATTTCTTTTTTTATGTGTGGCAGGGATTCAACTCAGGGGTGCTTAATCACTAAGTCACATCCCAGCCCTTTAGTTTTTATTTTTGAGGCAGGATCTTTCTGTGTTACTGAGAACCTCACAAAGTTGCTGAGGATGAACTCAAACTTGTGATTCTCTTGTCTTAGCCTCCGGTATTGTTGGGTTGTGATTTATTTTTGCCTTAACAATCTACAGTTACATAATTCATGCTCTCTCTCTCCCTGCTCCCTGAGGCTACTTGGTGTTACCAAATTGCTGTTACAATAGGTGCCCCAGTTCTACAGTCTTCATAAATTCCAGCTCCCTGACCCACAAGCTCTTTCTCTCCTCTGGGTCTGGAGTTACTTGAGCTTGCCCCTACCATATCCACTTTGGCCCAGATACCCAGCCTTCTCTAAGTGCCTAAGCCACCAGCCCTATAGCCATCATAGCTACTGTCTCCTTGGGAGCTCTTGCTCCATGACCCAGGGCAACTACCATGCATGTGTCCACAACAGTTCCATAGTCCTCCACCACAGACTACATCCTCACTACCATGTACAACCAAGGCTTACTCATATAGTCAGATGCCAACCCTGGCCACCACAGTTATACATAGATAAGCAGGTAGCCTTGTACCTCAGAGACTGCCCTCATCACCATGCTTATACCCATAGCTGGTCCAAGCAATTTTGGACACATGGACAACTCCAGCTCAGATGTGTAGCTGTTCATTTATAAACAGATGGTTTGAACCTTGTCATTAGCCTGAAGAGGGCTCTGCAACTGAGAAAGATGCATGGCCCTTCAAGCTTGTGGCCACTGTTGGCACCACCCATTGCCAATGGCTCCAGACCTTGTCACCCTGTATAAGTCCATAGCTGGCCTCTACCCAACATATATGTGCATAAACTGGCCTCTTCAATATAGGTGTACACATTTCTAGCTTTGGTATTCATCTAGTCTCTGAACATATAGGTATATGAAGACTTCAACAATTTTCACAGCACTGTTGACCTTCTACATCTTTTGCAGTTGCTAACATACCAGATCTCAGCTGACTAACCCAACAAGACATCTTTCTTCCCAGATATGGAATCACTGCATACTCCTAGAAAAAGTACTTTAAGACACAACATTTGTTGCCACACTGTACCCCAGTATGCATACCCCCATTATCCATAACAGAGGAAGGTCTTTCCTTATCTACACTAGTCTATAAAATCTAGAGGAGGTGAATATTTCTTAAAATTTGTAGTCATTTTCACAAAACTACAAAGATCTGGAAGAATCATGGAAATACAACACCACCAAAGAAACACAACTGATCCCAAAGAATTAGAGATGTTAAAAAAGAAAAAAAGAAGAAGAAGAAAAAAAATAAAAACAAGATAAAAGAATAAGTGAAATCAATACAGATCATTTGAAATCATCCATAGTAGAAAAATAAATATGAAAAAAAGGAGAGGGGGAAGTGTAGAGGATCGAATGTGACATCAAGAAAGCAAACATTGGGCTGGGGTTGTGGCTCAGAGGTAGAGCACTCGCCTAGCATGTGTAAGGCACTGGGTGGATCCTCAGCACCACATAAAGTAAAAATAAAGACATTGTGTCCACCTATAACTAAGAAATAAATATTTTTAAAAAGAAAGGAAACATCTGTAGAATTCAGGCATCCCAAACGAAGAAGACACAGAAAGAGAAAGAAATGTTATTTAAATAAATAATGTGAAAAGTTCCCAAACCTGGGGGAAAATATAAACATTTAGGTGCAGGAAGTTTGGAGATCTCTAGTCAAATTCAGCCTGAAGAAGAGTTCACCAAGACAAATTATAAATAAACTGTCAAAAATCAAAGGTAGAGAATTCTAAAAGCAGCAAAAGAAAAGCATATCACATAGAAGCAAGTCTTGAGGACTTGCTATCACCACATTTCTGGAAGATTCTTAAATGCATAGTCCTATGGTTTTTGGATGTCTCCTCCAAAATTCACATGGAAATTTAACTGCAATTGTAGCCTTTTTAAGAGGTGATTATGTCATGAGGGCTTTACTCTCAAAAACAGATTAATGCGTTATAACAAGAGTGACTTACTTAATAGGAGAAGTGGATTCCTGATTAGAGAATGATTTGGGCTCATTGCACGTGCTGCTCCATAAGTTCTAAGCAACAAATATTGGAGGTGTCCTTGTGATATTAAGCCTATAGATTTGCAGAATTCAAGAGCCATAAGGATATAGTTTCCCTTACCTAGATTTCAAAGGATATTGTGCACTTCCTTGGGTCTCCGGCAGATACTTGTCACATGGGCAGTACCAAAGAAGAGAACTCCCACTAGGGCAATGACTCATGGAGTCACGGAAGTGGGGTTACCTCCCATTCCCAGAACTATAGAACTACCAGTGTACAATGCGAGGCTTGGAAAAATGCAAGCATGAGACTTCTGAGTGAATTGAAGCATTGGGTAATCCCATAGAAGTGGAGCTCCCTGATTTTGTGGGGTACAACTTCCCAGTGTGTCCTGAAGGCAGCACAGGAAGTAGAATGCTATTCTTGAGTCTTAAGACTTAATATTGTTAGCTCTGTTCTTTTTTTTATTATTCATTTGGGATGTTATCTTTATCTTGTTTCCTATTTTGACTTTTTCAAGTGGAAATGTCTGTCTTATGCCTGGTCCACTATTTTGGAAGTAAATAAATTGCTTTGATTTTACTGGTTCACAGCTGGAATGAATTTGCCTCAGAACAAATTATGTCTTGAATTTCACTCATATCTGAATTAGATGACACTCTAGACTTTAGACTTTAGATTTGATGCTAGGATGTATTAAAATTTTGAAATTACTGACAAAGAAGAAAGTTTTGTACATGAGGATACACGTTTTGGGAGGCAACATGCTATGATTTGACTGTATAACCCAATCTC